GACATGCAATGTAATAGGAAGTAGTGGCAAGAGATCTGAAGCTCCGCTAATGTGACTTTGGCCTATGCACTTAATCACTGGTCCATAGGCCTCTATATTCTGTGATGCTTCTAAGGAATAAGGCTGAACAGCTAGAGAATGGGATGAGCAGCCAAGGGTGGATGGGGGTGACCTCAGGAAGTCTTTTCAACCCCTGGTTTGCACAAGGTTAACCTTGCAAGGAAGGCCTAGAGGACAAGAACTGATATATATCTGTGTTTTAGTATTCTGGTGTCAGGAACAAGGGCAGCCAAATGTTGTGCAAAACATTCTCTGACTCTTAAGCCTTTTAAAGAGCTAAGAAACCAGGAGAGTTTATCTGGTGATGTCCCTCTCCCAAGGTGAGCCGAGGAGGTGGCGTCATTGTTCACCCTGGCCCCTGGGAAGGCAGGTGGAAGCAAGCCTCTGCTAGCTCTGTGCATTCCCTAAAGGTGAGAGCACTCCCCAGACTCTGTTCTTAGGAACTGAGTTTCCATCAAGGTCTCAAAGTATTTTCTTCTTTTTCTTCAAAAAGGAGAAACTGGATGTGGTAGCTGGTCAACTGTGGCTTTATTTGGATTTTTTCAAGGCAGTGTTGGCCTCCTACCCCAACCCCTAACCACACGAATTCAGTGCAATTTCCTTTTCCTGATTCTTCTTATCTTTTTTTTTCTTTTCCTTATACTACTGGGGATTAAACCCAAGGGTGGTATTCCACTGAGCTACCTCCTAGGCCATTTTATTTTTGTTTGTTTGTTTTGGGGTTTTTTTGTATTGGGGATTGAACTTGGGACCTTGTGTTTGCAAGGCAGGCAGTGGAACCACTGAGCTAAATCCTGGGCCCCATTTTATTTTATTTTATTTTGAGACAGAGTCTCATTAAGTTGCCCAGATTGGCCTAAAAACTTTTGATTCTCCTGCCTCAGCCTCCAGAGTAGCTGGGATTACAGGCATGTACTACCACACCCAGCAGTGCTTCTTGAGTATATAGCTCCTTTCTGGGGAAATGAGGGGAGTATTAGGAAAGAAATAGGAGATAACCCTAGGGGTGCGTTTAAGTCATTTTCTCCAATCCCTTCTCATGTCCTCCTACCCTCCATCCCTGTTTCCCAGCCTCATCACTATCTTAGTGATTAATTGATCCTTATATTTCCAGTTTATGGTACACAACACAAAAGCCATTGGTAGGTCTCAGGGAGGTGTTTAGCACCCAGTGATCGAATGCCTGAGGCTGGTGATGAGCACTTCAGACTGACTCTGTTTTAGGCACAAGTGAGTTGCTTTTGTTGTAAAGAAAGAATCTGGACCTTAGAGATGCAGATGAGATCTGGCCTTTAAGAGATAATCTTTCCTTCTTCTGCCTCTAAGCAGGCTCTTGTCACCTCTAGAGGTCCACAGAGAAAGGCATTCTCTAGCCAAGCTTGGCCAGCATTCCTGTCCTTAACGGGCTTCACTGTAAATGTTTACCACTGAACCTGAACTCCCCACACTGCGCTCTACACACACTCATTTCCCTGTGTTGGACAACAGAAAGACAGCTAGTGAGAAACATCTGGCTTTGCTCTCACAGCATCATCCCATTTCTGTCTAATTTCCAACTTCCCGCTGAGCCACAGGGTCCATTTCACCAGTACCCAGTGCCTACTTCTCTCCTTCGAATCTGGGCTCATCACTGAGCTTGGCAGTTCTGAATGCTGGGTGGGAGAGAGACTGTCTTGCAGCCCTAGTGGTGAAGGGCACCCGCCTGTGTTCTCACCAGGTGCCTTCCAAGGCCTCCTGGGGCAGGTGGAGTGGGGGCCAGTGGGTGCTGCCCTTCACACCTTACACTCACTTGCATGTCCACCCAGGAGAAATCTAACCTTAAAGCTGCTATTTTTCATGTACATTTTCTGCTGGAAGTTTCAAATGAATAATAACAACGAGGTCATTTTTGGGTCTCCAGAAGTAAAAAACAGATGTTGGGTGTCTTGTGTCGGTAGGAAAAGGGAGCCTGTGCAGCCAAGAATAAACAACAGTTGCTTGGTAATGTGAGCTCCTTTCATTTAAAGTCAGAGGCCTGGCAATGGGATGGGGTGGGGGCTGGGCTGAGGCTACCACCTGTTGGGAGAGGACCCCCAAGGTGAGGTCTCAGTTTCACAGGGAACTGTGGAGTCCTGGAGAGCCAAGGATGGGGATGGGGGAGACTTGGGGAGTGAATGTGTGGACTGAAGGTCTGGAAGAGGATCAAGGAAATGCTTTGTCCTGACATCTTGTCACTAGGTGCTTTAGGAAGTGGTTTTTCCAAACTTGATGCTTCCATTTCCCTGCCTATAAAACATGTTGGAATTGAACAGCTATATGTGATTTCATGATCTACCCTACTGAAGCCAAGGCTAATAAAATTCTAGCACTAGGCAGGACCTGTTCTCTTGAGCTGATGCATTTAATGTGACTTTGGTGGCCTTGCCACTGGTTTCTGAAGGCCTCAGTTCAATTCTGGCCTTGTCATTGACGAGTCATTGTCATTTCTTGGTGACCTTGGATAAATGACTGCATTTCTCTGTCTTACTTTCATCACTGTAAAATGAGAGCAATAACGTCTGACCTAACTCATTCCTGGGGTTGCTAGAAAGACACAGAATGATGCATGAAAGCCCTGTGAAGAGGGATAAAGTTCACATAACAGTAAAAAGCACAGGATGCTGGAGATACTGGGCATTCCCTCAAGGAGCTAATAAAATGATGACTCACAGTTGCAGGATGCCCTATATTCCAAAGTGGCACCTCATCATTATGACAGCGCCACAATAAACAGAAATGGCTGCAGGGGCTGGGGACCTGTTTTGATTAGGGTGTTAATGAACAGAAGGGTTTGGGCTGAAGGTAAGAAGGGGCTGCAGGTGGAAGTGAAACAAGGACTGGACAGCGTTAGGGAGGAGCAGTGTTCTGGGGATCTGCTTCTAGACTGAGTGAGACCATTTCATATTTGGTCAGGTGAAATGTCATCCGCTACCACTGCTGTGTCCAAGGCTTAAATTAAATCTCATAGGATTTTAGGTCTAGAATCTATTGGGGGTGGGACAACTGGCTGACGTGGGGAGAGGGGCTCTTTTCCTCTGGAGAAGTGTATGCTTAACTTTAGAATGTCCGCAACAAAGGTAAAGAGGTATGCATCCTTGGTTCACCTTCCCTTTTTCAAAAAATCCATAGAGTTCTCTATCTGCTCTTGTGTGACCCCCTCCTTTTTTCTCTTACACATTGAAGACTCTGGCCTCCTACTTCAATAGCCTCTCTGACAGGCAGCTTCCTTGAACTAAGATGTTGTCAGAGCACACGTAACATGCACCTCCTTGGAAAACTGCAAGTCTGTGAACAAACTGTGTAGAGCATTGACTCAGCTCCGGATCCTAAAGTTTGGAGTTCCAGTCAGGCTCCTTGGCATCTTAGGAGCCAGAAGAGTTCTGCTCCCTGCCAGGCCTGACACCTGATAGAAAGGAGTTTCTCCTTTCTGTGCCACATCCGGGAGTTAAAATAGAGTGATACCAGATCATCCTGGAGTCAGTGCCGGATGTGAAGAGTAGGAATTAGGGACCAGTATTCCAAGGGGTCATGTAAGGGTGGACTTGGCCTTGGCTTTTCAGCCACAGTTTCTCTCCTTGAGCAAGACATACTTCCTTAGTTCACAGCCTCTCAGAGGTCATATAATACCAAGATGTCTGGAGTTCTCTGCATGTGTCATTGCAGGGGATGATGGACCTGTGGTCAGCTGTTACTCATGATGTTGTGCTACCTGCAGGGATATATTTTTTGCAATGAATTCTTGTGGACTTTAGTGCTTTTCTTCCTCAGCTTTAGTACATTTGTGAAATATGACCCTTCTCCTGGCACAGAAGCTGGGTGTCAGCTTTCCAAGTGGAAGAAACTGGACTCAGGGAAAGGGCAGAAGAGGGTGGGTCAGATGGTGGACGCTGTGGTGTGGTCTTTGGTGTGCCTCACGGTCTGTTTGTACAGAAGAGGCAAATGCCCTGCTGGGAGCAAGGGAAAGGGTGTTGCAGCCTCTGCTCTTGCAGCTGGGTGGCTTGGACACAGCTCAACAGTGGGCACTTCCTTGTGGGGACCCATCCTTTAGGGTGATAGCTAGGTCTAGGAAGAAGTGATTCAGCACGTCTTGAGACACTTCCCGGACTGACCAACACTTCCCAGGTTCTGTGACTTGGGTTCACTAGACTTTGCGACCTCGTCCATACCTCTGTCAGGCTGAGGGAGAATTGAAGTGGCCCCAAGAATGTAAAGGGGTTGCATTTGCCTTCTTGGGGCTGTCCTTGATGCATGGCTTTGGTGTGTTCACTTTCCTTTCATTTCAGTCTTTACTTGGCTGAGGCTGTGGTATTGGCAGGGTTGCTCACAATGCACAGGGTTCCATCTCTGTTCCTAGCGCTGTGTGTCCTGTGTCTCTTGATGCTGTCGTTTGTCTTTCCTTGGTATGTCATGTCTAGTGTCTTCTGCTCATGTCACTGAACTGTGCTCTCTTCTCAGCTTGTCATTTTGGAAGCAGCCTTTGGAAACCTTGCTTTCTCCTACAGACTGTGTCCAGACTTCGGGTGCCTGCATCTGCATCCCAAATAACACAAAGAAATCACCTTTCTTAGGAGAAGAGATTGCGCTGAAAAGCCCTCTCGTTTTTTCTAGACTTGGTATCTTGGGTGGCCCAAGAGAATGAGAACTGAATTCATTGATTCTCCTCCTCCCGGAAAAAAGCAGGCAGCTCGCTAAAGAGAGCTGCCTGGCCAATCGCTGCTCTGAGAAAGTTTAGCTTGTGCTCCTGTTTCATTAGGCTGATTGGCGCAGCCCTAACTCGGAGGCAGAGTTCCTCCCCAAGGCATTCCGTGTACAGTTACAGGGCTGTCGCTGCCCGTGCAAGCCCTTCCAGCACAGCAAACCGCCCCTTCCCCAGCCCCCTCCTCCCCTCCCCCTTTTTTGTTTTTATCCAGCGTCGCGCTTCGTCTCTCTCTTTCTTTCTCCCTCCTACCACCGCTTCCTCCTCTTGCTCTCTTACTTCCCTGCAGCGCCAAGCCAGCTCCCCAACCTGGTCTGCCGAACGCAAACCGCTGAGAGTTTGCCGAGCCGCCCCCTGGGGCCCCGGGCTGCCGAGTCCCGCTAAGGCAGAGACTCCAGCGAGCGAGAGAGCGCGGCAGAGAGCGCGGCGGAAGACAAACAAGGCGCGCGGGGAGCCCCAGGAGGCGGCGGGGCTGGCGGGCGGCGATCGGCCGGAGGACGCGCGCTCCGAAAAGTTAGACTCCGGGCGGCGGCGCGCCGCGTGCCCTCGCGTGCCCTCCCGGAGGCGCCCGGGAAAGACCTCGCTCTTCTGGCCTCGAGCTTCCTAACGTGAGAGGGGACGGAGGTGTGCCGCGGGGCCGGGGCGGGAGCAGCGAGCGTGACGCGCGAACGACGCCGCTGGCGGAGCGAGCACGGCGGCTCTGAGCCCGATGCCGGCGGCCAACATGATGGAGAACTTGCAGCTGCCCGCTCTGCAGGTTCCCGAGCCGCGGGGCGCGCCCGAGGGCAGCCCGGTGTGGTCCAGTTCGTCCACCCCCACGCTCCGCCGCCGGCGCCTCAAGATGCGCCGGATGAAGAACGTGCAAGAGCAGAGCCTGGAGGCCGGCCTGCCCCAGGACTTGCCCGGCGTCCTGGCCCCTAGCAAAGAGTTCCTGCAGCTGCCGTCCATCGAGATTACGCCCTCCAGCGACGAGGACACCCCGTGGTCCAACTGCTCCACGCCCAGCGCTTCCCCGCGCCGCAAGCGCTTCCTCCTCCGCAAGTGGCTGAGGGTGAGGGAGCGGAAGGAGTGCAGTGAAAGCAGGTACGTCCGGGCCAGTCCTGCCTTCTTCCCCGGGCCTCTCGCCCCTCCCCAGAGCCTTCCAAGGCCCCCGAGGCCTCCTGGTGGTGGAAACTTCTGGACGTAAGCAGGTGCCTGCCTCAGTGCCCGCCGCCAGGGCTAGTGGATGTTAGCTTCCACCTCGTCACTCACTACCCCAGCCCAGGGCTAAGGGCTTCGTATTCTGTGTGACGCTGGCCTGGGGCTTCACGATACATTCTCTCTCCTTTAATTCTCACAGCAAAAGGAATAATAAAAACAACAGCAGCTAGTGTTTACTGAGCCCTTACTATGTGTGGGCCACTGCGCTAAGCACATTACCATGTAGCTCCAGATTTCATCCCCTCACAAACTCCGAGGTAGGAACTCCTGATTCTTGTGCAGATGGAGATAGAGAAGCCGGTCCTCCACTTGGGTTTCTGAATTCCATTTCAGTTTTTATTGTTTGGCTCCACCAAGTTGCCTTCACCTGGCCCCCAGCATAGAAATGGAGTGTTCACATTGAGAGAGTCTCATTTCCTACCACATCAGAAACACATTTCCATACCACTGTGGATTGTGCCAGCTACTGTTTTGCTAGGTAAATGTGCCTTCTGGGTGGCGGTGGGAGCACTTGCTATAGTGGAGCATTGCTGTAAAAGCCCACAGAGCAGTCCAGTAGCTTCGTGGGGGTGCTGCCCCCCGGAGTTGGGAGTGAGTGCCAGTGTGTGTGGCGGTAGGGTGTTCACTGGCTCATTGATACCACATACCCTTCCCATTCATCCGTTCACCTTTAGACCAGGGCTGTGACTCTTAACGGAGATTTGTGGTCTTGTGTCTGGTAACCGAGCTACGGACCACTTTCCCAGGGAATCCTTCACCCTGTCTGTTCAGTTTCATTCATTTCAGTTCAACAAGAATTTATTGAGTGTTCATGTAGACTTGGTCTGGTACCAGCTAATGGTAGTGATGTTGAGAAGGGTGTGGGAAGGAGTGGATAGAGTGAGGGAGGAGATGTGGAAATTGAGAAGGAGGATGGGAGGACACTAGTATAAGAAATTAAGATGTAGGCCTGGAGAGGTGGTGCATGCCAGCTAAGAAAAGAAAGCAAAAGGAAAGAAATCAAGATGTAAGTTTCACTCCTGTTGAGCAGATGTAGCCATTGAATGACGTATTCTATGCCACACAGTACTGATGGTGGAAGAAAAGAGAGAGCTCTCAAGAAGTGGAGAAAGTCAAATGCGGATAGGTAGAGGAAAGCGGGAATGGGACAAGGTTGGGTGCATAAGATGGGCTCAGGGCAGCAATATGGGTGAAGGCCAGAGGGACAGGTGAACCATGTGTCCTTGGGGGGACACTGAGGACAGGGTTTCCTGAGGCAGGAGATGAGTGTTCTGAGCCTCCCAGGATTTTGTTTGCAATGTTTGCAATGATGGGGCATGGTTCTCCTGTCCAGTGGAGATGTAGGGTTTGGTTCTGGGCCTTCTGTGAGCCTTGGGGTAATCGGTTCTTTCATTTCTGGCTCTTCAACCTGCTGCTTTCTCTACAGAGTAGAAGGAGAGGGCAAGCTGGAAGGAAAGGGAGCTGATTTTAAATTAAAATAGTTTGTCAGAAGGTGTGGTGGTGCACACCTATAATCCCATCTGTTCTGGAGTTTGAGGCTGGAGGAAGTTAAAGGCCAGTCTGGTTACCTTCGTGGGACCTTTAAGATAAACTTCAAAAGTGGTGGGGGATGGAGATCAGTGGAAGTGTCCTTGCCTAGCAAGTTCCAGGCCCTGGATTCAATATGAGGCGCACACACACACATACACACACACACACACGCACGGAGCTTGTCAGCTTTCCCCTCAAATGTGAGAAACCATGAAAGAATCCTTGTTTTGACCTCGAGACTCTGCTATGTAAACTAAGCAAAAAATATGAAGAGTCTCAAATTTCTGGCTAGGGCTGGGGTGGGGGTGAATCTGATTAGATTTAAGGCTCCTGGTTTTGAGAATTATTTAAGGGGGTGGTAGAATCTTCATTTTTGTGGCAGTGGTTATCAGGAAGAACTTTTCACCTCCCAGGTGTAATTTAAAGCAGTTTGTTTTGTTTTTAAGGTGGGTTGTTGCATTAAAAGATTATTTATGTATAGTCATTCCTTAGTATCCACTGTGGGTTGGTTTCGAGGCTTCTTGTGTATACTAAGTTCCTCATATAGACTGATGTAATATTTGCATATAACCTATACATATCCCTCTGTATATGGTAAACCATCTCTAGATTATTTATAATACCTAATACAACATAAATGCTATCTAAATAGTTGTAGTGTATTATTTAGGGAATACAGTAGTCACAAGAAAAAAACTTGGTACGTGTTCAGTGTAGAAACATTTTTTTGTCTGAACATTTTCCACCCATGTTTGGATGAATGTGCAGATACAAAGGTCTGTGTTATAGAAAAGGCAGATTCTGGGGCTGGAGTATAGCTTGGTATAGGTGGTAGGGTGCTGGCTCAGCATACACAAGCTCCTGGGTTTGATCCCCAGCACTGGAAATTAAAAAAAGAAAAAAAAGAAAAGAAAAGGCAGATTCTAGATGCAGACTTAAGTCTGTGTGATTCAAATTTCTACACTTACCCACTGTTGTACTGCCTCTGTTGGCATTTATCTAGATTGTGTCTAAAGCAAAACCTCATCATTTTTAGGCCTTGGAGATAGGAGGCTTCTTGGAAAGAAAAGAACAATCAAATGAACAGATGCTTGTGGGTACTCACCAAGATTGCCTGAGAAAAAAATTGCAAGGCATTAAAGGGCAGAGGATGGCAGCCCCAAAGTTAGAAGACTTAGAATTACACTTAACTTATGTCATTGACTTGCTGTAGAGTTTAGATACCTCACTCTACGTCCTTCATCTGTGGAAGGGGAGATCCACAAGTTAATGGGAGGTCACACGTGAAAATGTTTCTTAAACTTCCTCTTGCTGTTCAGGGGTGCCTTGTCATTATTCTGTGAGGCTCTCACATGAGGGGATACATGCTTCAGAGTGTGAGGTGATGTACTCACGTGTCCCTGAGCAGCACCTGCCTCCTCAGACATTACGTGACTTGGAAATGATGCTTAGAAGATGACTCCACTGTGGCTTGGATTAAGGAGGATTAGTGTAACATGGCATCTTTCCTTACCCACCCCTGCCTGAACTCTACCTCTCCATAATGGGGAAAAACACCTTTCAGCTTTGCCATGGAATTCATTCTGAAGACCTAGGAGATAAGGGGCCCAGAGAGCCATAGCTTATGGATTTTAACTACACAAAGTTTAAAAACAAAACAAAACAAAACACTTGAATACTCCAAGTCCAATCTTGTCCAGCTCTGTGCTGTCACTGCCTGGCATTATACCTGGTCTTTTGTGGTGATCATAGATGTATAGATGTTTGTTGAAGAATAAATTACTAGAGAGTGAGTGAATGACCGGATAATTTCATTTTATCTACTGTTTAACGTGTAATTCTTCTCATTCATGGGTCTGGGAAAATTTCCTCAGGAGATGAGTGGAGAGCAACACCTTTTTTGACCTAATTTGCATACAATACACATCACTAAAGTGTTTAATTCAGGGCTGTGAGTCTAGCTCAGTGGTAGAGTGCTTACCTAGCATGCAAGAGACCCTGAGTCCAATTCTCATGATAGGAAAAAACAAAAGCAAAAAACCCTGTTTGATTCCATAGTTTTTGGCATATTCATAGATATGTGTCACCATTACATAGTCAATTTTATATTTTTGTCACCTATAATAAAATTCCATACCCTTTAGCTAGCACCATCAAGTGCCCAGGTTCATCTTGCCAGCCCTAGATGACCACTAATCTACTTGCTAGGGAGAGATGAATTTTGAGGGGGAACCAAACATTTCTTGGTGAAAGCAGTTTGGGTGTGTTGACTTGAAGAATGGATAGCTGTCATAGTGTATATCTATTGCTATATTAAAATACTGGAGATTAGATGATTTATAGAGATGTATTTGGCTTGGTGGTTGAGTAGGACGGAAGTGCAAGACCACGGTACTGTCATATGCTCAGCATCTAGTGAGGTCTTTTTGATCCATCCATAACAGGGCCGAGGCCTCACAGACAAGACAGAGCAAGCTGCTAACTTGGATTTTTCTTCCTCTTCTAAAGATAGTAATGTCAACAGGAGGACTTCTACCCTCATGACCTCATCTTATACTGATTACCTCCCAAAAATCCTACCTCTAAATAGCACCAAGTAAATTTGGGGATTGAGTTTTCTAATGCATATGCATTTGGGGGATACATTCAAAGCATAGCAAATATGTTGGCTAGAGATGGGGAGGGATTACCAAGTGTGGTTTTAATGAGGAATATGGGAAAAAGCGACTTGTGAGTTGTCAGGCTGACAGACTGTAATGGGTGCCAGAGAGTTTGAATTTCAATTAATCAGTAGTCATCAAAAATGTGCTGAGATTCTATATACAGAGCTCTTTACATACAAAGAGGAATGAACTCAATAGGGAGCTCTTGTAGATTCTGGAGCCTGGGAAAGATATGCTCAGAATGGTATTGAGGCAGCTAATCTTGCTTGTCTTGGTAACTGGGTGGAAGCTGGTGGGGGGTGGCCTGAAGCTTTGCACTGTTCTGTCAGTCACTTTTTAACGTAAGATGACACAATTTTTTTTCTTAAACTTGCCATGTTGCCTTCTGAACACAGGAGACAATGTGGTATGAATTTGATAGAGCAAGCTCTTAGAATTAGTACCCATGACAAATAAACAATAACAACCACAATATGTAAAAAGAAAAAACAAAAGACAAAAAGAAAATTTAGAATGTCTCCCTAAATTCTCAGCCCTGACTAGTTAAAATAATTATTCAGAACCGAGAAACCGAGCCACTGTGTGACCTGTTGAATTCTGGCCTCCAATCAAAAGTCAAGTGGAGCCACAGCTTCCAGGATTGGGTCTTGTCACACTCTCTGATATCACAGGGGAAGGATTGATGACAGA